TAATTTACTAAGTCATGTTAGCCTTGAGCTTTCTTTAAAGGAGGAGATTGGAAAAACATAAAGTGCCAAATCCATGTGAAGTCTTCATGCAATGCCTAGATGAGGGAAGAGACCAAGAAGAGTTATCGCTATCCCTTGATGTCATTAATATGCTGCACATGTTTATTTGCCATTTGCATGTTAAGGGAGACATGGGAAAATGAATCTTCTTCGGCCCCAAGTTCCAAAGTTTTTGTTATTAGAATAGTTTCCATTAATTTAGTATAATAATAATAAATACATTGGAGAAAATCCAACAAAAATTAGGACGAGAAAAAGAAAACACATATGTGGCAAGTGCTTTTGGTAGCATGTGCCTGAGTTTTTCAATTGGCTCGTGCTTGTTATTGTTGATGAGCAAAATAGCAAAAACTTATCATGTAACAATGAACTTAACACAAATCAACTCGCTATTGTCATCGTTCTAGATCGACATGTCCGTCGTCACCACGCCAATTCCGACCACCTTTTTATCAATATATTTATAACATCAATCCATCTTGGAAAGTGTTACTGTTTATTTCAGTGCTTAAATACGAGGATAAATAATTAAAAATAATAATTTTCTATTATGAATGACATAAAAATTATTTTTTTATACTAAACTTAATTTTAATGATTGAGGTTACTAAAATTTCTTATACTAAATAATTAATTAAAAGTATATTGTAGGATTATTTTAAATTTATTAATAATTAATATTGTATCATATTAAATAAATTAAATAAAGAGATGACTTTATTAAATTAAAAAAAATTAATGTAAAAAAACTTGGTATAATGAGAAAGATAATTAATTTTTGAAAATGTTTGTATTTGAAAAAGTTCATAAAAACACCTTCCTTTAAAAAATAGCTCCCATAAATTATATATAAAAATTAATGATTAATAAATCATCAATTATAAATAATTACTATATCAGAGTAATTTGATATACTTAATTTTTTTTAATATTCTACTGGGTTTACAGATAGATAATTCGTTATAGGTTATATTATTTATATAAATGTCACTTAAGAGGCCCCTACTGATGTATGATATAGCATCACTGCTTGTTCCAATAGACAAGACTTGTTCGTGTATTATTAATATGACCCTTTTTGTATTGGGTATGTAATTTCCAATCCTACTTCTCTTATTGATATATCCATCTACATTCTAAATTTCTTTCAATCAAGAGTTCTGCCCTGCCCCCCGCAGGTGCCACGTATCACTTTCCAGCTTTGAAGGTCTAGTTCTGAATTCTGAAGGTGTATATAGAGCAAGTATTCAGATCTACCACAATGCACTAATTTATCCTTCTTATTTTGTTAACACTGTTAAGTATCGTAGTGTTTCTTTCGTTTTTAATAACCAATGCTGTGACCTACCCAAAACGCTTTTTGGTATATATCTAATCTGCATCAATGAAGACAGTGAAGAAGGTTGATAAATTTTTCAAATGGTAATTGCTCCCAATACGGCTAAAAGAGCGCTGCCACTACTCGTCACAATTCATAGGAACAAATAATCTTGTTCAAGATTTTCCCCTTTAAAACATTTATACCTTTATATCAAAATGTTGAGTAACACAATTTCCTTCTTTAATATTATTGTATGAATAAAAGTAAAGTAAACATATTCTAAAAGATAATATTTTTCTGTAGTTGGTCTAGTTAACATTTCAAATTTATGTTTACCAAGTGACCCTTTTAATTTCTATTTTGTAGGTTTCTCTGTAAAGGACAAAGGGATCTTGATTGCATGTCTGGCTACTAAAGTAATCCACCTAGTAAAGTACCCACTTGCACCACAAATAAATTCCACAAATCACAAAGAATGGGATCAAATTCAAAGTCATAAGAAAATTCATCATTAGTGATTCTTACTGAACATGAGGCGGTGTTAGATTGTCGGTCTTATATTAGTAGAATTCACATTAACATGTGAGGACACATGAGAAACAGAGAAAGAGGCACACAAACTCTGAACTAACACACACTAAGGGTACGTTTTTCTGGAATCGTGCTGTTTCCGTATAAGTTCTACCATATTTTGGGCAAATGTTTGTGACTAAACAGTGTCTTAAGATATATTTTATGCTAATTTGTGAAAAGATTGTCATTACTACTCAAAATGTGATATTTGCATATCACATTTCATGTTTACATGGTTACTACGAGTCGGCAGAATCATGTACTCCAAAAAACACAATGGCTTTACTGTACTTTTCATTGTTTTGTTAAATTGAGTTATGCACAATTTTATTTTATTTTTACTTTTTAATACTAATTAAGTTTTTCTAAATTTTATCTTTTCTACCTAAAGTAATTATATTCTTAATTTTTTATTAAAAATATTCACAAATTTAATTGCTTTAATGACTTTAAGCCATCTGTTAATAAGATCTCACTAGTCAGATATCAAATTTTAAGTAGTATGATTTTTTTAAAAATAAAATCTTCTTCAAAACCTGCGGTATCATATTTTATTAAATCTTTTAAATCTAATCATACTTTAACCGGTTTTTTTATTTCTAAGAATTTAAAATTATTTTGTATTCTAAATTTATTGTAAACCTTCTAAATATTTGAAAAAAATTATAATGTAATTATTTTAAATAAAAAAATTAATTGAGGGACCCAAATTACTTATTTAAAAAAAAAGAAAAATACATAATACAAAAAATAGTTGGCATGATAAAAAAAAATAAACCTTTAAATATATATTTTTTTGTTTGAAATTATTCTTAGAAATGCTCTTATTTAAGAATGAATAATCACAAATTATATATAAAAATTGATAAATATAAATTAAGTTCATCATTAAACACGTAAATCAATTAAAAGGATTATTCAAGTTTGAATCACAATTAATAAATACTTGAGAAATTTTTTTATCGTTTATAAAGGTCCAATACAACCTCGATAAGATTGTCTTTAATAAATTTTATATATATATATATATATATATATATATATATATATATATATATATATATATATATATATATCCTATTGTTGAAGTAAGTTATAGACATCAAATGAATAATTCAACCTCAATCGGTGTTATTTTTCTATTAGGTGAAAAATAACAAATAAATTTCCAAAAATATTAAATTTTGGCACAAATGATACTTAAAACAAAATCACAAGAAATTAAGAAAAAAAACTAGAATCCAATAGTTATAAAAAAAAATATCCAATAATGATTAATTTAATTCTGTTATTGCCCTAACAAAAATTTATTTTGTTGATCATCTCCAACTTATGCACAAAAAGAAAGATACTCTTTTCCCTCACCACTTTTACAACCAAGTATTTTCTAAATTAAAAATTTTATAAAAAAAAATATTTTAGGAAAAATATAATTTAAAAAAAGTGATAATAAATACACAGGTGTAATAATAAATATCTTCTTTTTATATATTTTCCATGCGAATTATATTCTTCAATACTTTTCTTGTGCTTCTTACGTAATCAATCATGTGTATAATAATAAGCAAGATTATTTTCCAATAAGTAATAACTATTAAAAACTAAAGCAATTTCTCATCCATTAATTACATCTCACGAAGATTAATATTAAAGTCAAGCAACATTATAATATATAGGCCTGATTTGAATTATCTTTTAATTTGTGAGAACTTTTAAATTAAGATAAATATTTTATTAATCTCAGATTAAAAAAAACTTATAAGTATTTGTGAATAATTAAGGAACTTTTGAAGAAAAAAACATATAAATTTAATTTATTTGATATGTTTAATGTATTTTTACTTTTCAAATTTATTTTAGTATATTTTCATATAACTATTTGTTAAAAAAAATTCTAAAATACTTGTTGTTTGGCTATGATGAAAAGCTGGTGATGATGTTGGGCTATTCAAATTCTTTAAATTGCAAATGAAGTTTGACACAAATATCTGTTTTTGTAACATTAAAAGCTCCATCAAGTCTATGCACTTAAAATATAAACTAGATTCTACCCTTAGGGAAGTTACGTATTCATATTAAAATGATGTAGTACAGCTTTTAGAGAAGAGGAAAGAAAACTGTTTATACCTAAGCAGCACATAGACAGACCTGTTCCAACACATTAAAGGCAACCACATCCTTCTCTTTGTTTTACAAATGACAAGTTAGGGATACCGCTAATTAAAAATATCATGCACAAACATTTTTAAATTAGTAACGTATCTATGTTGTACTTGTAGTGAATATTTAGAACATGTTTAAATTACTGCTTATGTCAAAAACACGTCTTAATAAGATTTTTTTAAAAAGAACAACTACATGTAGCTTAAATTTAATCATGAAATTTACAAAATAAATTAAAAATAACTTATTTTGATAAAATATATTAAGAAACTCATTAAAATAAACTTAAAATAATTAATGAAAGTCACAATTTATTTTTTATAAATTATTCATAGTTCTTCTAAATCAGCCCTTGGAACATATTTGAATTTACGTTTTGACTCCTAGGAGCATTTATAGTCGATTTTATCTCAAATTATAGATGACTGAAATTTTACTTTTACAAAAAACAAACTATGTTGAACGGCTTCGATAATTTTTCAATTCAGCAAATTTGATTTCAGTAGTTCCACAAGCAATCTCCTAATACACGTTTTGTATGACTGTCTCAATATTAAAATTTAGGGTTTATTAACACACTTACCTGTGAACATGATTAATAATAATAATAATAAATAATAACGTGAATGCAGCGGTGGGACAAGAAAGGCTGCATCAAACTACCATACCGAACCATTGTCTAAACATTACGAGTTGTTTAAATCGTTTCCCAAAGCACACACATGTGTTGTCAAGATGGAAAATAAAAGCATAATATATGAGGCTATAGGTAGTCTCAAATAGCACAAATGCACACACATATGTAACATTACATAATCCACCACAACAAAGCACCAAACACTAAGCAGCCACAACCTCAACACTAACACAGTGAAAACAAGACATGTCATGCATGTGGCGCAAGAATGGGTGTGGTGGCAGTGAGAAGAAACCACCTGCGGATGTGCCACGCGGGCACTTGGCTGTGACAGTGGGAGAAGCAAAGAGAAGGTTTGTGATAAGAGCTGATTACCTTAACCATCCATTGCTTCAACAATTGCTGGAGCAAGCATCATATGAAGGCTACGGCTTCAACAAGAGTGGTCCTTTGGCTATACCCTGTGATGAGTTCCTTTTTGAAAATATTATTCAGTCCCTTCAACGTCAACCTCACGCGCGCCGATCCTCCTCTACCCACGTGCCTCTCAAGAACCTACACCATAGCTTCTCCAAGGACTCTCTACCTCTACTTCATCATGGTTTTGATAGTAAAAGCAGGAGCAGCAACTAAAATGCTTTCATTAAGCATATTCCAGTTATGTACGTTGTTCTAGCAGCTTATGGAGAATAACTCTCTTTCACTTTCCTCATTCGTTTAGAATTGTCCAAGATTAGTTCTTAACAACCATGTTAGATTTCGATCTTCTCAGTTTGAGTAAGTTTATAATTAGATAAATTTCTATATAAGAAACAAATTTATATAAAAACTTTTTTTTAGGTAAAAGCAATTTATATTTCATAAATTTTAGAAAAATCAAATAAGAGAGTTTATAAAAAAAAATAGAGAAGTATAGATTAATTTTATTTGATTCATTTTATTATTTAGTTTTTGACTTTTACAAATTGATAAGTTTACTATATAACTTAATTAACTATTTATTTAATATTTTTAAATAATAATTTATATTATTAAATTTATGAAAATAAACTAAAATAAAATTATAAAAGTTGTAAGTTGTATGTAGACTCTTTCAAATATTATCTCATAACATGTTATGATGCACATGTTTTTCTTTTCTTTCTCTCTTTTTTTTATCATTTTTTAACAATACGACATGTAAGATCTTTGACGATACATAAATTCAACTAAGTTATGTTTTAATACAGTAGAAAATTAATAAAGTCTTTAAGCTGAAAAAGGAACCGACAGTATTTGAAACATGAAAAGTCAGTAAGGACCAAAAAGATGTTTTGGGACCATAATCATAAACTAATCAATAGTTGACTCCATACTTTATTCTCTTCTCTACGGTACAATTGAAGCACAATTTGCTAGCGTGCCATCATTCGATGTACGAACTCCGTATCTATATGGTACCCGTATCAAAACTTAAGGAAATAACCACTTGAAAAGGAATTAATAATAATTTTAAAATTGGGATTTATTAGTATCATACCTAATTTTCATACCTGTACAACATAATGGGACAGAGTAATCCTATCTACCCAAGGGTTCAATTTATTTTTTTTTTCAATCAAAGGAAGATATTTGACCCAAAACAATCAAAGGAAGATGCAACCACATACGATATCGTGACCTCTGAAGCACTTTGAGGGACAAAGCAAGCAAAATCACACGGTAACTAACAAAATTACAATACAGCATTTTGTTCGGTCAATTGTTTCATGATCTATGCACAAGACAAGTAATTTTGAGGGAAAACAGGGGCAAAAGGATAAAAGTGGAAGGCTAAATAAAGAAGATAAAAAGGACTACAGTAGAAAAGAATAAAAAGGTATATATTTTAACTTTTGGATGGTATTATACATGAATCTAAAAGTTATTTCGTCTTTTACTAAGTAATAATCGTTAAGACGGGTTCTCAACGCTATTTGTTTTGTTTGTGTAGAATAATTATTACTTAAATCAAACAATACATAAATTTTATGTTATCCAGTCAACCACAGAGAAATATTATAGTCTGATCGATTATGCCAATAGCAATTATCTAGTGTGAGTCACAAAATGCAAAGCCACGTACATACCGATAAGAGCCAATCAAATAGCTGGAAACCACTGTTAAAACAGATAGCAGGCATCGGGTACAACTCTGAAAAGTTATGAGAACACCCTCACATTTTTCTACTTAATTGCCCATGTAGATATGATTGTTCTTCACGAGCTCATAAAATGAGAGTTTTGAAGCACAAATCTATCAAAGTTGATTGATGTTAGGCAATACTGGGCAACATTATAAAGCAAAAGCTTGATGAGACTTGATCTTTTCTAGCAATTGTTACTGTGAAACAAACAACTATTACAGTGAAACGGGATTGCAATTTGAGTGTGCTTCTATCGCACAGGCTAAATGAATCCAACAAATGGGGCGAGTGTCTGAATGAAAATTTGTTGTGACAATATGACATTTCATTTCTCGTACAATCTTAGACCCTATGAGTTTCCTCTGCAGATAATCTACTAAAAATATGAAAATTTAGCAAACTCCAAATATTCTCAACAATCCCACAGGATAAACGACAAAATGCTTCCTTAGCAGCTCTACGGCGTGCTTCCAGAAGTGTTGCATTTGTGAATAGTTCAAAGAGCGCTTTTTCAAGCTCCAGTTTATCAGAAACCTACGAGGCAGTGACAATTGAGAACAATTAAAGAATAATTTACTCTGAAGAACAATTTTGATTAGCAATTGAGTTGTTGTCCCACCTGAAGGACTGACAAAGGATTTGATCGTTGCATTTCCAATACCATGTGGGAGAAATGCCCAACGTGACAACCTGAAATCATTTGAGTTCCAATACAACCATTAAAATAATATGTTGAGATTTGAGAACTGCAGTATTCAACTTGCACCTGTCAAAACCGCACAGCCAGCTGCAGCAGCTTCTGAGATATTATGGCCAGATAAACCAGGGAGTAAGGAACCTCCAATCACAGCTATTGGTGTTAATGTGTACAAGTGTCTTAATTCACCTGACAAAGAAGATGGATGATAGTAAATGTCCTGGATGACAAGTGGAAAAGATGGAGAATTATGGCGAAGAATGAGGTGCAAACTCAGCATCTACAGCTCTAGAAATCCCACGGTCTCAATTCTCAGCACCAGTGGATTTTCATGTACAAGAGCATTTCATGACTGTTAGTGAAAAGAAAGAATTTGTACCCAAAGTGTCCACCACATAAATATTTGTTCCTGGCTTAAACTTCTCAAAATGAGACCTTAAAATCACATTTTGTCCTTCTTTCTCCAATTTCTGCACTATATCAAATAGAAGCATAATGAATTTCAGAGATGATAGGGGAAAAAAACTATTAAGAAATAAGAACAGTAAATTTTGCATGAGCATTGTTTCTGTTGTATGCAAAAATGACTCTAGAGGATAAGTAGAAATTAATTGTCATCTAGGCAGCATTTAACTTAACTTTCTTTTAAGCTTCTTTTCTTCTTAAAAAGGATAAGTCAAGCCAAACAGAATTTTAGAAAATCTCTTAAAAATAAAGTAACTTTTTTTAGTGAACAAAAGCCCAAAAAACACTTAACAGAAGTTTGATCTAGTAGAGGGGATTAGTTTTTTACAAAGTAGTGAACCACAGTTAGAATCCCCATTGAGAGAAGCACCAACATTTAGTGTCAGAACCATGCCTTAGGCAAGAATTTATTTCTAAGGCAGATATCTATGAGTAACAAAAAAACATGTTTTGAAAGAGGATATGGCATAAAAAGCTTACTTTGGCCATCTCTCGTCCTTGATGTGGATGCCGAGGGACAATAATAGTCATTATATTAGGTTGCTGCTGCATAAGGGCAATGTGAACTCCTAATATTACTGCAGAGAAAGCAATCAAATTTAAACATATTAAAAGATAGAGAACATAATGATTAAGTATCAAAATAAGGAGGGAAGCAAACTAAATCCAGCTAATTGTAACATAGTCTCAAAACTAATAAGTAGGACAATCTGTAAAAGATGGAAGAAACATTCATTCCAACACTAAAAAAGTTAAAAAAATATATCAATTCATATCTGTAAAAGAGAGCATGTTTCTTTTTAGTGTTTATTTACGGAAAAGAAAACAAAAATAGAATTTGCTGCATTACAGAAAGATTTTAACTCAAAACCAGAGTTCATAAAACATAACAAAAATGGGTACAAACAGTTCAAATGTCAACATCTTTACTGAATGCAAAGCAAATCTCAGAACAATCAAACCATCTATATTATGTCAGTTTTTCCATATTATTGGCATTCCTCTCACTTTCTTATGTTAAGCAAATCAATCAGGTGTTTAAATAGACCAAGGAACAAACAAGTATTTGCAGCATAATGTCAGAGGATAGAAGATGGAACTGACTTTCTTCTTCTCCCCTATGAATGGAAGAAGCCATCCAAACCTGCTTTTGAGTAAGCTCTAGTCTCAGATTGTCTAAATAATTTCTTTCTCTTTCTTCAACTACCAAATCTTCAATTACTGAATGAAAAGAGTGATAAGATAAGATTAGTAAAGGTCGCTCTATCACTTCAAAAAATCGAAAATCCAAGCAAAAAAAAAGTTCTGTTTTACAATTGTAACCATAACAGCAACAACAAGGAAGTAAATGATGTATATCAGAATGGACTGCTATCAATTTTTCATGTTCAATTTCATATACATTGAATTAAAAAAATAAAGAAATCAATGACATACCATATTTAAGATCACCAGAAAAGTTTATGATACAAGGAGGAGCTTGCAGTAGCTGAAACCGGATGCCCTGCTCTGTACTCTGACATTCAAAATGTTCAATGATGGCATAACAAGGGATGTTAATTACTGTTAAGGTAAAAAGACCTAGAAGCACGTACCAGTGGGGCAATCAATGAAAACTTGGATAGCATCAATGAAATTAAAGGTAGAAGCATTGGCTGTGACCAAACTTTGAAGGATTTTTCAGACATCCGAGCATTTAACAGTGCCAGTGTTATCTGATGAGAGTAAATGGGTTATCATATGTAAGAATCAGCATGAGTAATTGACCTGATGCACATGCAAAAACACAAATGAAGCAGTTCTATGAGCAAATAAATTAATCGGTCTGTCATTTTAAATTAAAAGGTTAGCCTCAACTACTGTTTACTAACATTTATGCTTAGGTTATCTAGTTCCAATTCTAGATGCATGGATTAAAAATTTGACTATTTTTCTCTCCTATACGTGCTCTATGGATGTAGTCCACAAACTAATGAGAAAGAATGACTTACACCATTTCTGGAAGCACCCATGATAAGATTTGGCCATAGTTCACTTTCCATTAGCACAATGGCGTTTGGTTTCCAGTAATCAAGGAAAGAATGGATGGAAGTAGGGGTGTCGAGTGGTGAAAACTGCCAAATTTGAAAGTTTCAGCAAACCAAAACATGTTAAGCCTGATCGGAAAATTCCAAAGCTGAAGACTAAATGATAACTTCTAGAATATTTTAAAATCGGCTAAACTGATAAAGAAATAGTAAGCCAAAACACAAAAGTAAGCCTAGGAATTCCTTTTCAATGGCCTGTTTGGCCTTCATCCTGAAGCCAGGAGGCCCAGGACTACATCCATAAGACCATTGAAATCAATTAAAAACATGACAATAATTGAGTTAACAACTTTTGCAGAAATAAATTTCTTTAAGAAACATAGCACATTTCTCCTTTTCGCTTATCATAAATAAATTTGTTCTGGAAAATTGCTTGATTATTCCTAATCCACGTTTTAAAAAATTAAGAAATGACAGTCCAGCAACCAGCATCCTAGAATCCTAATCAACAGGTGAAAAGTGAGTAATGTAGCATTATAGAAAACAAGAACATATCATCCTTTCAACAGCAAGTTTCGCTTATGCGAATGATCAGATTCAGCATAGTCAACAGTTGTCTACAATAGTTTCCCTGCCTGAACCCACCATTAAATTGGCCAAGGCATAATAAACTTACATGAGGCACACCCCTCTAATACACTATTTTCAACATAATTTTGGCAACTAACTTCAATTTATTATAACACGAAAAATCATTCAGGTCTCGTTCCTTATTTAACAAGTCTAGCACATGATTTAGTGAGTCCCAATAAAATTCAGTCAGTAGTCAAAAGTGTACAAGAAATTGTGTTGTTTTCACTTCTCAACTTAATATGAGAAAAGATGCATGTGGATGAAGAGATTACTCAGTCCATGTTAGCATTCCCCAACAACGTACCTGTAAAATGATTTCACTGGGAAGCGATATGCTTAATACTTCACTGCATTACAAAAACACAAACATATAAATAAATGTATTTCTTCTCAAAATTTCTAATGAAAGAGTCTCAAAAGCTTAAAATTACATTTTCTAATGTAAAAAAATTTTGAAGCAAGGAAATACGGTTAAAATGCAAAGGAAGTGGAAAGTGAAGTGATGGAAATGGAATGAGAGTGTGAGAGGGTTACAAAGCAGACACGGTGGTGATGGTCATGAGCACGTTTAAGTGAGGCATCTTCCGAATGCAGTGTTTGATGACGGGAATGGCGATCATTCCTTCGCCTAAGGAAACGGCGTGGAACCATAGGAGTGGTCCCGGCCGTCGAGGCTGAGATGGGAGACCGAGGCGCTCCGGCCACCGCCGCGAGTGCTCGAGGCCGCGGAATCTGCGCCACTGCAGGTGAAGGCGGATTAACGGCGAAAGACCGTAGCTTAAGGCTCTGTATATGTTGTACACCACCAACCCCTTCTTCATCCTTCTCGTCCACGCCATTCTTCTTCTTCTTCTTCTTCTACTCCGTCAGAACAGAGTCCAAGCAAGAGCCCGAAGACACACCGCATCATAATGGGCCTGTCGTCTCCCCAATAACAAACCAAGTGGGCCTTTTTTCGAATGGGCCATTATATTTTAAGATTTTAAAAAAGTTATATGTTCGTGTTTTGTTTATAATTTTAAATATTTTTTCTATTTTGTTACATTCTTATATTATTTCCTTAATCAACCTCTAATATGGAATTTGTGAGAGTGAATTCTTAAACAAGAGGGTTTATGGAGCTTTTTTAAACAAAAATACTTTTAAAAATTAATTCTTTTTTATTATATCAAGTAATTTTCACATAAAATGTTTTATTTTCATTTTTTAAATTTAAATGTTATATTTTATTTAATTTTATTCAATAATTATAATATTTAATTTTTTAAATTAATAAAATTAATTAAATTTTAAAATAATCATATGATACAATTTAAATTATTTAATTAAAATTTTATTTAAATTTGTTAATAGTTGTTTGCAACATTACTAACTATGTATTTAGTTTTGTGTCAAATTTACTTAAACATTAATATATTTCAACATTATAGATTGTATTTTTATATTAAAACATAACTTTATTAATAATGTGTCTGCATCTACATCAAATTTACTCAAAACGTGATTACTTTCCAATCCTGTAAGTTATAACTTTTAGGTTAAAACATGATTTTATTAGTCATGCACTAACATAAGAATACTTCTTCAAACTAGTAAATTTTTATAAAGTATTGCTCTTGTGCTTCAAACATTAGATACACTTGAAAACAGCTCTAATTATAAAAGGGGACCAAACCAAACTGATTACAAAGTTGGAATACCTAAACCTCATTTCTTTGTTTGGACAAAAAAATAACTCATTTCCATGACACTTATCGTTTGCAAATCGATTCCAATCACATAAATCTATGTTTGGGAGTAAAGTTGCTCCCCAATTACAACAATGAATATTTTACCGTGGGTAGCAGTTATCTTGATTTATCCAGTGTAGGTGTGGGTTAAGGAAAAGAAGAAAACCACAATTGAAACAATTATTACACACACAAAAAAAAAAAAAGGAAAGCTTCCTTTGGTTTAGTTTCAAGTTGGGATTTATCACTATTTTCTCACAACTTAATTTTGTATAGGAAAATACATTATATATTTTGAACAGAATTATCTAATCACAACCTCAAACAAAATTGACAAACCCAAGTGTAACTTAAGCTCGTGATTCCCAGCGTATTAATATTAAAAACAGTAAACTACAATTTAGAAAAACCTTCCATTAGAAAATGAAACTGTACATCAACAATTGATGACATTCAGGCCCAGAACACTAGCAATGTTCATACATCCTATAAATATTTATTGCAACAGCTCATTCTTTCGCAAATGAACACCATTGAAAGATCTAGACCCTGCATCTCTAATGTGAGCTTCTCTATCAATCTTGCACACATAGTGTAGACCAACAAGGAGTTCAACCATTGCAGCTTCTGTTTTTGCTTGGTTCGCAAAGTAAAGAGTCTGGACAAGCAAAACACTAGCTTTCAAAGCAGTGTGCTCCTTCTCAAAACTCCTCTCAGAATGCCACCTTATCATGTTGTGTGCCAGTGGTGCCAACCATTCCAATATTTGGGTGAGTACCATACTCCATTCCACTGCAAGGCTAGCTGCATGAATCATGGAATGTTTGCTCTTAGCATACCACTTGAGCTTACCCCTCAGAGAGGTTCTTATAGTGGTTGGTAACATATTGTAAAGATTGTGCCTTGTTTCAAGATCAATGTGGTGAGTTCCTGAAACTATCTTCTCTATTAGTACAATCACATTAGCATAATGGAGAGCGAAAGCTGCATCACCAAGTGTAGATAAAGCTGGCTTTAACCGACCCTTCATAGATAGTTTAAAATAAATTCTACTTCTGTGAACGGGAGAAAATTTTAATTTATCCACTGTTTTCATGTTATCAATGTTCTTCACATGACAATCAACCAACCTCATAGAACCACCATTAGTTGGCATACAGATAGGAGAGTCATTTCCAACAGACATACATCCTTTGAATGGTCCAAAGTGTTTGAACTGCTTGCTTTCTGAATGAAGAAGCACTTGCTGCTCTTTGTTCTTTCTCTTGCTCTTTTTCTTGTCAACTAGCTCAGAAGGATGAATTGAAGAATGCATTGGAGCAGAAAAGGAACGCGTGCGTGTGAGATGATTCTTAGTTTTACTTAAAGGGGGAGAATCATCTTGTTTCTTTTCAATTGGTAGATGACTATTTCCAAAGACAAGAATGATTCTCTCCAAAATTGTGAACAATGATCTTGCCAATAACCGGACAATATAGTCATAACTTCTGTTCCATGGAGTCATGTCCCTTAGAGTTTTCACTTGCTGGCGCTGCCACGCGACCTTGCTGTGAAACTCGAGCAATTTCACCCTATGAAACTTGGGATTCTCCTTCGTTGTACTGAAAGTTTGTTCTCTCTCTGCTAGTACCTCAATTTCTTGAGACAACAGTGACATAGCAGCAACAAATCTTTCCATTTTCTTCACCTTCCTCTCCATCTTTTTCCATGCATATTCCCACCCAGACCATTTGAGATAATTTTGAGTTGGGTTGTCAACAAAATGTTCATAACCATGATACACTGGATCCTTGCACTTCTTACCCAACCTTGCCACAGACCGTGCTAGAGATTCAAAGTTATCAAGTATCTCATCCAATGCGAGTTCCATCAAGAAATAGTCATCATCAGACACTAGCATTTTGACCCCAACAGAATTCACTATCCATTCCCTCATATTCATTACTTCCCTTTCGCTCAAAGAATGCCATAAATTAACCACCTTAGACATCAAGCCCGCAACATCAAAAGCCAAAATTCCAATCTCTTCCTTGTCATCTGAAGCACTCTTGCGTGAAACTGGCCACAAAGCACTAAGCCATGTCCCATTCACTGTGTCACCTCCCATTGATATGCCAAATCAGCAATGTCAGCAGATACCAACTATCCTGTATAAACGTTATCAAACACAAAATACAAACTCAAAAGCCTAACCCAAAAAAAAAAATTAGAAAACGCAGAGCATAGTGAAAGATGTAACTAGCGGCATTATGAAAATGAAAGCTTCGTCTTCAATATGAAGAAAAATTAGCCTCAAAAGAGCAGTTTTGGAACACTTTGGAGCTTCAAGGATCCTAACCCGCTTTTCAAAATTTAAAATTTCTTCCTACCCTTTCTGTCATTAACCCATGTTTCTCACTAGAGAAGCATAGCAGCTCCCAAAACCACTACTCAAAACACACACACAGAGAAAGAGAGAGATCAGAAGCATACTCTTCACCTATCTGAATCAGCATTGAGCTGAATGAGAAGAAACTAAACCTCTGAGAGAGAAAGAAGAAGTAAACAGTGGAACATACTCATGCTGAGTTTATGGGATGTGAGTGATATGAGAAGAAGATAAGGAATAGAGAATGAACTAAGTGAGAGAAAGACAGAGAGTAAGACAGAGAGAGAAAGAGAAAGAGAGGGTACAAAATTTGGTGAGACCGAGGAAAGAGAATATGGGTCTCCATGTTGGGTTTATGCTTTTGGGGAACGTGGATTTCACTGTGACAGTTCAGTGTTTGATTGCGTTTGGCAATTGCAAGCAGAAGAGTGTGTCTGTGTGATGCGGAGATACCACTGTCGTGTGACCATTGAGTTTGCATTAGGCTGTTTTTCATTTTTGGTGTCTAGTGAATTACTTCGTGAATATTAAGAATTGAGCTTCACCATATTTCATACACACCTTCTTAATAATTATCTTATAAAATATGTATTAAACAAGAAAGTATAAATATTTATGAAAAATCACGTAATATTACTAATTTTAATGTATTAATAATATTAGTTATTATAATTTTCAATAAAAAAAATGTATTATTTATTAATTTTTATCATGTCTTTAAATATATGTTAAAAAATTATCTTAAGAATGATAGTTGGACGCGGCTGGTTGTGTTTGCTGTTGGGTACATTTTGTTGTCTTCTTTGCATTGTACATGGGACAGTTGGGGAATTTTGAGGAGTATATACCAAATATACTGCCATGGAACACTGAATGATTTGAAATCTGAACTAGAACTCTTTTTGTTGGTATATGCCTTAATGCCTCTTATTGGAAATGTGTTTTGGATTTAATGTTTGCAACTTTGCGAGGGATTCGCAACACAACAATCTTATTTGGTACACCAAAATTTTCACATTTCTCGTACAACTCCCCCACATGCTATAAGTAGGCTCTCTCTGTTTTATATTAAAAGCACAATGACCCTCTTTGTGCGTCATTGCTGCAAATAATAAGGAAGTATTCTAAAAATAAAGCTTATAAATTAGTGTAATTTTGATGAATAATTATTTATACCAATCCATAAGCCCATAAACAAAATTAATAATAGCCTCGTCTAATCATCACATAGTGCATTCCGTCAAGTTAGAACGTAAAACCCAAATGGATGAAGAGCACAAATAAAATAATCACAACTTGAGAGTGATTATCACTATCACTCAACCAGCTCCAGAGTATGTTGCAAAATAATGTTTTATATAATTTTAAAACACAAAGAAGAATTCTAACAATAAATTTCAAATAGTGACATAAAAATTCTAAAATCGTCCAAACAAACAATCACGATCTAATGATCGAGTCCCGTGCTCTTTATTTTCTTCTCTCTGTCACGAGTAGTTTTGCTATAATTCCTATTTATCTTCCTAACAATTCTCTTATTTTATTCATAAAGTAAGCGTTAAATGAAAAAGTGCGTATATTTATCATCTTAGAAGTATAAAAATATTCAATACTTTTTTATTTAATAACTAAAATATTTATAAGATTAACTATCTTTCTATTACTTTATTACATAAATATTAAACAAAAAGAAATATGTATTAATAGCAAAAAAGAAAAAGAAATATGCATTTATTATCTTGAAATTTTTGCTCAAGAAAGGGATTCGAGTTAAAATATCACAAGCATCCTTCAACCTCCATTTTGTGTGTATAAGTGAGAGAGTTTTGCCAAATTTTTGGTAGTGTATATATATGGGTCTTCTTCAACCCTGAGCGAGTCAACCCAGAAAAAACGGGTCGGGTAGCTAATATGTGATTTTGTAGCCCAATTCAGTATCAGCCCAGCCCGCATTAAAGCAAAGCAAACATTTATGGCCCACCCCCACCCAAAAATAATAATAAAATCATTCTATTCTAAGTTTCTAACTATTGGCCGAAGTGTTGACTAAAATAATAATAACTATTGGCCAAAGTTAAACAGGGACGTCCACTCGAACAGATGATTACAAAAATGCAGGGGCTAATTATTGAGATAAATTAGATAAATAAATGGGGTTTGGTAACGTCATCACACTGCACATAATCAAATCGACATATTCATTGAATGCTAGACATAAACTTGTGTATATGCTTGCAAATTCCAGAAGTTACCCCTGAAATATTTGAACATTGCATCCATACAATCAATATATAAGATGGTGTATCATTGAAAAATAAAATGTAAAGTACTTGACCATTAAAAATCGACTTTAGCTTTTCAAATTGATGCGTGTGGTGATACATTAAAATACATAGATTTACCTGTGATAGGAACCAAAACTATAAATTTCAAAAAGAATAAGGCTATTATTAAAGATATATGAATAATTTCATATTATAATTCTTGCAATGTTTTGTCTTGCTGTGGTGGCTGGGAGTCATTTTCAAGTTCTACCGCATACTTTGGGTGTGAGATTAATTAATTCTTGATTTGAGCGTCGGATGACATTGCTTTAAATGTTTCCAATAGTGTATCTAATCTTCACGTAGACAATTCTAAAATGCTTTTCGGGTTATAAAATCTAAGACTTAATTATACTATTTTAAATGTCTTTAAAAAAACTCTAAACGATTTTAATTTCTTAAATGTGATTAGTTAATTTATTTGTGATGATTTCTAATTTACCTAAAATTTCTCATTTTTTGCCCCAAATATTCAAAAATTACGATAGATTTTAAATCTAAAATAATGTTAAAATTTTATAAATCACTAGTTATGGATGAATATGATAAAATTTAAATATTTTTACAGTGTAAAATTAATATATTTTTTTACCTTGAGTAAAATTTGAGATTTTGTTTAGTTAGCTTTGAGTAAAGGTAAGTTTAAAACAATTTAATTGTTTTAATTTACGAGATTGTCAGTAAATGTTGATGATTTTAGATATAGAAAGTTGATGAATGATTTTTTTTTTTATTTTAAAACTAAAATGACATTATTTAACTGACAAAATTCAAAAACTATAATTAACCATAGTTTATTTTGACAATGGACTAAATTATACCAATATAAACTACATTAATTTTTACACTATCAACAACTTTATATAAAATATATTTTTATGAATTTAATCATATAATTATAACTATATATTACCTTAATCGTGTGTTAATTTTTGTTAAAATTGTTCAATTATAAAAAAAATTATTCTCATATATTTTAAAAGTATATATTACTTTAATTTTGATACATATAATAATATATAAAATAATTTTAAATTAAACAGAATTTATATAATAAAAATAATTAATCTAAAAATTGATTTTGAAAAAAAAATATAATAAATATTAAATAGTATAAAAGTAGGGGGTGAAATTTATTCTATTATAATTTGAGCCTCTTCATTTATACTAAAAGAATATAATTAAATCGAGATCTAGTAATTAGTGTTTTTTTTCCTTGGTTTCAACGTGTAGATGTTATTCGAGAGAGATAACAGAATGTGGTGGGCCGTGAAAGGCAAACGGTGAACCGGGATTGTTAAAATTCCATACAAGTTTGTTGATGGATTAATTAGGTTAAAGCTTAGGGTGTAACTTATAAACAGCATATAGCAGAAGAATTTCACATGGACTAGTAACTTTTTCAACTTTATTTGTATTAATAAGTATAAACCAAGTTACATTTCCCTCTAACTCGTGGTCCCCAAATACTCACGCTTCTCAACATTAGGTCACGACAAGGTTCCCATTTTTCTCTAATTTTTTCTCCTAGTTGGGACTCTTGAAAAGAATTTATATTTAGCCATGCATTTGAGTTTGAGAACAATTGAACAAAGTTGTAGATTTTCAAAATAATTTACGGTAACCCACTTTGATATGTTCTATGAAAGTAAAGATTATACAATCCCATAATTAATTAAAAAAAAAGCTAACCTTGAAAGTTTGAAATTTCATATCTCCCACATGATTATTACTTGGGAATCTCACTTTCATGAATTGCTTTTCCCTTATTTTTAAAAAATAGATTTGTGGTTAAAAGAGTTTCGTTTTCCATACGCGTGCTTGGTAAAGGAAAAGAGATATCCTGTAAGAGCCTTTTTTTTGGGGTTCTTCTACTTGATTGCGGTAGAGAAATTCAATTCTTTTTTGGGTCACTATAAATTAAGAGGCTTATTTATGGAAATAAAGCTTCAATGTTAAGAGTTATGAGAGTTTCATATAATAATTTTGTAATTTGATTATGGGCACATACACTGCTTCACGGACAAAGCAAGGGCCAACGCCCATGCCCCACCCACCCTAATATACTTCTTATATATGTCAAACTACTATTATTCTTTATAACATTGGGATATGTTATCAACTCAGAACAAAGCATACAAATAAAAAATATCTTCCATAAAACGTTTCTCATCAAATTTATACCTTTTTATTTACTCTTTTGGTTTT